CAAAGGGAACCTTACTGACAAAAGGTGGCACGACAAAAAAAGAAGGGGAAAGAGAAACAAAGAGAAACAAAGAGAAAAGATAGAGAAACGGATAAATCAACCTATCCCTTAAATAGTTTCCGATTCCTAATTCGAGAACTCTACATCAATTTTCTTCAGATCTCCATGTGTCGACCAAAAACACGAATTTAACCGAGAAATGCACCGCCGACAGCACCGCTTCACGCGAAATCTCCCTCGTTTCCCACCCACCGAAAATCAAGAAAAGAACGAACTTTCAGATCCCAACAAAAAGGTCAATTTGAAGCCCTAATATTCTCAAAAACAAAAAATTCTCGCTTTTACTTGGGAAACAAATCGTCAACCCAAAGAAACCAGCAAAAGCCCAAAAGAACCGAAACACAAAAAAAGATCTTTATTGTATTTTAGGAGATAAACCTACCGGCAGGGATCAAGCCCCGATGAAGCCAAGGCCAGCGGATCAACCCCTCCCCTCGCGAAGAAGAAGAAGAATGTCGCAAGATCGCGCAGAATCCCTTACCGAATCGGACAAAATAGGGGTCAGATCAGGGCTTCTACGCGACAGCTCCCTCGCAGATCCAGACCACGGCTCCGGGGCGGATTCGGAGGCGGTGGAGGGATCTCGACAGCCTTTTATTCTCCCGGGGATCAGAGGTGGGAAGGAAAGCTAGGGTTTGGAAATCGAGGAGGGGCTCCTCTATTCGACCCCACTTTTTCCCCCAATTGAAGAGAGAAAGAGAAGCAGAGAGAGAGACAGAGAGGGGGGCGAGTCGGAGTCGGGTGGCGGAGCGCAAATGTATCACCTGATCCTGCGACGGCTTATATAGCGCTGGTCTGTATCGGTGTCGGTTCTACCCAAACTGCCCTCATCCTCGGGATGTTTTAACGGGAGAGCCCGCAGGGAGGGACGGCACGGTTTTTGACGCACAATTTGCCCTTGGCAACGGTAGTTAACATCTAACCACCGTCTCCCGTGCGTCGCGATCGGATCATTTTGCGGTACGGTGAAATCCGACGACACTTGCGGAGTACACTGTGATCATTGATTGATCCACACGCCAGCCATGGGATGGATGCTCATCATCATCACCTCTCTCTCTCTCTCTTTCTCCTCTTGCCAACATATAATTCTTTTGCAATAAATAAAGATATTATTGACAGCCATCTAGCTTCATCACGCATCGGACACGGAGCATAAGATCTATGGTTAGGGTTAGATTAATATGCTATATGACAGGGCACATTTTGATATAGTCCACACTCATCCAGGTAAACAGATACGACGATATATATGTGAAACTTCAAGTCTGATGTGGTACGCAACACACACATGGCAGGCAATCGTTTGTCGCCCCCTCGTATGAATGACATCATCACAGTACAATCGTCCCGAAAAGTTCGAGGTAACATCGTGTGGCGTCGATCCGTGCAGGTCGATTGACGCTCGCACAAAAGCTTAAGCCGGTCGCCCGAGGATCTGATCATAATTAATTGATCTTGTACAGCCAACTCATCATTACAGGTATAGAAACTAACCCTCCTTAATCAGAAGGGGGAGGACATTCGCACATTCAACTCACTCTTATTCCACTCAACGTTAACATAAGTTTCAAAGGGATCGAGTCGATAAATCCACCTCCCAACCTTGACCTATGTGCAGGGGACTGGCGATAAGGAAGTAGGCAACAAGACTCGTAGCTCAACCAATCCGACGCACACTTTCGATGCTCGAGTCTCCGTGTGGACGATCTTGCATATTCAGGATCGAATCAAACCGTATTGACTCCTTGATCACGTTGAGGTTCATCAACACTATCGATAATTTTTTATTTAATATATGTGGATGTGGTTGAATGTTTGGCATTTGTTTTAGTCTCACCTTACAAGTTGATATGGATCACATGATATGTGGCGGCGCTACATTGATGTTTAGTCATCCACATGTTACATCACTTCCTATATTTCTCATCTAATCCTCAATAATTGATTTCCAAATTTTGATTGTAATAATATCTTTCTAATCATGTCATAAGTACTTTCTCACTATAAATCGAAGCTCTCTATGTATGACATATTGTAATTTTTTAATTTGAGTTCCTTCTACTCGTATCAAATGATCAACTAATTTAAGCATCAAGAAAAATATATCTTAAAAATAATTCTTATAGATCGAACATTTGATTAATTAACTTAAGCATCAAGAGAGCATCAACTAACTTAAGCACTAAGAGAGCATCGACAACCTATCTCCCTCCCAACAGTACTATATAACAATCACCATCAGAAAACCACCATCACTCGACAAGACAAGGCTTCATGACAGGGCACGATCGTAAAAATCTTCTACGTGGAGGGGCATTTCGGGGAACGCGGAGGACGTACTCGCTGCTTCGAAACGGGAGGAGGGGACCCGAAAGGAAAAGGACGGATGGCTGCCATCGGTGGTGGGGGCCACAGAAGGGAAAGAGGAAAACCACAGCGCAAGGCAAACGGGGGACGACGCCACCGAGGCAGCAACGCAACAGCTCAGAGCTCAGAGCTCAACTCGATGACGAGAGACAAAAAAAAATGCCGGAGCCGAACAGGCAAGAACGAGAGGAAAGACGGAACGTGAGCAACATTAGATCCTGAGGATGACAAATCACGTTAATTTTGGGAGCATGGAAAGGGAAGAAAAGGGAGGATGGCAGTCACGTTAGTGGAGTTCACGTGCGATTTTAACAAACAAGTCATCAAAATGGTAAGAGACAACCGATATGTTATCACGATAGTAAGAAAGGATAGAGATATCCAATAGGATAAGTTTCAATCTTCTCTATTTCTTTTAAGAAATTTTTTTTATAATTTTAGAAACTTTATCTGTTTTATGATCTAATATATGAGATTTGTATGGTCTCTAAAGATACATTACATTAATTATATTCAAGATGAATTATTCTTTATCAAAAAATATTTTCAGGAATCAATAATCAATTTGATTTATCCTTTCATAGATTTTTAATCTATTTTTTTTCTTAATGTAATGAATCTTTCTCTCGATGCAGTAAACCCTTTTTTATGAAATGAATCCCTTATGACACTTGAACAAGTTTACTTCTAACATGATATTAATCCTCCTCGAATCCGCCTAGGATTATTATGCATATTTATCCTCTCAAAAAAGTCAACTTTTTTTTTATTTGAATATTTTTTTATAATTTTATTATATTATATGTCATTGATATGTGGATTCGAATATGAGATTTATCATTTAATTTATATAACAATATATTAATCAACTAAATATTTTTGTTTTTTTTATAAAAACTATATTAATCCTTCTACAATAGCTACATTAATTTATCATCCGAAATGAATGAATCCAATCTAAACCTTATTAAGTTGATAGTTATAAGAATAATATTATATAAAGTGATATTTTCAAGTACATTCAGATTTTAAATTAATTAAATAATTTTTTTTATTTTAATAATGATATAGCATATTCATCTATACGTTTTGAAACCTCATCCGATATATTAATATTAAAAAAAATGAGATACGAATATCTTCGACCCTTCAAGTAAAGTAAGACAAGGAATATAAATATTTTTTATCTTTAGAAAATTTTATTTTCAAAAAAATAGTATATGATATTTTCTTTTTAGTGCATGGTAATTTTCAAAACATAAGTCATATCAAATGGATTTAACCAAGTGAAATTGACCATCAAAATTGACTATATCAATAAGAGTGGAGAAAATTCAAGGTACATAAATAACTTCTTTATATGTAGGCATTATATCGATCAAAGTCTATCTTATATACACAGATGCTTCCAAAATCTGCACCACACTTTATCATATAAAGACGAATGTACGGTCTCCTGAGAGGCACACAACAACTAAAAAGAAAAGACAAAACACATATCTCGATACCCTCTTGTTTTGCTTTTTGTAGCACAACAACATGTAGCATCCTCTCGAATCATATTGGCCTCCGAGTGGGCTTTTAATTAATAAGCACTTCCAAGATGCTATCTATCTATCTATCTATCTATCTATCTTTCGTCAACCTCTTAGTTGACCAAAATCAAAGCTTAAGTGCGATCACCTTTGGGAAAAACATTAATCATGATGTCAAAGCATCTTGTGTCCTACTCATCTTCAGCTAGATTTATATCATACGCTTGGATTTCGTTCATCCGATATTAAAACTTTTTTACTTGATTTATACGTGAGAAAAGAGATATTATGATTGTAAATTTATATTGAGTTCTTTACTAACAGTTCAAGCTTTTGGAATTATTGACCACTCATCTTTCATTTACCTTTGAATAATTCGATATGCAAGCTTTGGTTTTTAATATTTAGAGTACAATGCAAGTTCTAAATGATCAGTATAAACTACATAATCTCAATCTATTTTTTGTTTGATCAAGCATGATGACCTTCAGCATTCCCCCCACCCCCCCTTTTTCTTTTCTTTTATCTTTTATGGTTATTGTGAATTTGCTGTTGCATTGAATCAAACAATGTTATCAAGAATAATAATTTCTAACCCAATTGATCTAACCTTGGGGGAAGAATGGTAGAGACATGTCACTATTGTTTTTATTTCTAGTAGGGGATAATAAACATAGCACTCCAAGAGCTCTCTACTTAATCTTTAATAAATCTTTTTGCCCTCATTTATACTCACATTTTTCTTCAAATATTCAAACAAATTATTTACAGCACCACCAGAGAACATGCAATCTAGAATTAGGTAAAACTACAATGGTTGAGATCCAAACACTATAGATACTGGTCATCAATATGTTGTTTCAAAAGCTTTTGATGAAATGTTTATATATATATGTATGTATGTATATATGAAGACCAAATATATAGGAAAAAAGCACCAACTAAATGCATCACAAATGATCTACTTATTTGTTTTTTGACTTGAAAAGTAGTTCAAAGGTAAAAACAAATAGATGAAAAAAAAAGAGAGTAGACCTAAAAAAATAATATGAAACAACAGAAGCCAATTAGGGTGAGAAAGACCACATTTATGATGCTCATTCCAAGACCTAAACTACCAGAAGGCGTTCCTGCAAAAGAGGAAGAAAATGTTGGATCATATTATCATCATTACTCACATAACATTATTATTGATCTTACGACACTAAACGTTAAAACACTATTAAATGGATGCAAACAATCATGTATTAGTTAGTAGATTTTGCAACAGTTGTATTAGTCTCATCACTGAAATATAAAGACAACACCAACATGCAAACTTGTGTGGACACCATCTCCATACACAAAGTAGCTGCTTACAACTGAGGTCAGAATTCTCTTAATTTGGTTGTTCCAATTCAGTCAATTAGTATTTGGTTTCCTGATATGGATTTAATTGATTCTAAGTAGAGTATGAGGGAATGTGTAAGTTGTCAATATAGACTACAGTTTCTGAGGAAAAGGAAGGAAAAATATATGCAGCTTGGAAGAAATCAAAACATGAGTAGGATGTATTATGGCTAATATAGTCATGGATAATGGCAAACTATTAGATTCCCCATATTACTTTGCATTAGTTAAGATACCCAAAGCGCTTTGGAGAATAGAAGATAACATTATGTATTATTTATTGCACAATTAACTACTACACAGTCACATACAAATATTGCATAATCAAGTTAATTCTTTTGATAAAATTACTTTTATCGTCGAAAAATAGAGTTATTTTTCTAAGTTTAGATGGCTACAAAATTTGCAAGCCTAATTTTAGAAATAACTTTCTTTGCTTTAATTCATAACTTAAAAACTGACATATTTCTTTTTCCTTAGATTGCTAGATTCAAAGCAATATATTTAAGTAACACATGGTAATAATATATGATTAGATAATCATAAAATTAAATGAGACATAAAGGATTTTATTTTTAACATAATGATGAATCAAGAAACTGTTTACCTTTTGGGGGAGAAGTAACATTGAGAGGTGGCAATGGTGAGCTTGGAGCAGCTGCATAAAAAAATAAAAATAAAAAGAAAGGTCCAATAAGATCAAATAAATATATTCGTTAAAGATAAAATAATCTATTAGTAAAAAGATTAGGTGAATATCTATCATTTTTTAAGAAATCTTAAAAAAATAAGAATGATGAATGTAAATAAAAAAAAATATTGAGGGAAAAGAAGGATCAAAATATTAATCTATAAATATTGTTCCTCTGATGAAGAAGTAAAAGGTGTCGAGAAATGAAGAAATGGATTCTGGAGAGGCATTGCTCACCTGAAGAGTTGGTGCACTTGTCTAAATCTATTGGACGCAATCCACAACGTGGAGGAAGATCCCTTACGGCCTGTCGAGTGACATTGAAGGTCTGGAGGAGCTCTTGGCTGTAGAATATATCACAGAGGCAATCGACATCGTTGGCCATTGCAAACTTGAGCGGTATGCAGCACACCACCGTGGGCTGCTCCGAGGAGTGCAGAAAAGATACGCATGGCATCAGCTTGCTGAGGCACACCGGCACGCCGGAAGCTCCTCCATTTTGCGACGGCGCAGCGGAAGCCCATGAAGTCACGAGGAGGAGGAGGAGAAGTTTCATGATGGAATGCCCCTCTCTCTCTCTCTCTCTCTCTCTCTCTCTCTCTTTCTTTCTTTTGGTTTCTCTCTCCGTTTATCTGCAACACTACGAGTAAGAAACTGGTGTGAAGGAGGATAAGAATCTAAGAGTAGATTTATAACTCTTTATCTGATGACCTTTTCTTTCGGCATGAGAACTTAGTTTGCTTGCTGCGTCGTCGTCGTAGATGGAGTTCTGTTAGAGAAATTCTTGGTCAGAGAGAGAGAATGGATCGGTGTGGATAAGAGTTACTATGGTAGAGATGATCGTATCTTTTAATCAGCCTATAACTCGTGGGCTCTTTTAGGACAAAGAGAAGAACCGGCAGTCGAAGTTGATGATGGGGTTGCTATGTTCATCCAAAGTTGGAGAATTTGATGCATTTAACAATAGGCACACGAAAATATAAGATATTTGGGTTATGTTTCACGTAGTTTTTACATACATACATACATGTCGATTGAGAAAATTATGTCGATTGGTGTATCATCCAATTTGCAATGTAATGTGATGTTTCTTAATCGATTGAAAAATTATGATCAAAACCACTTAGTGATAAGTCTCTTTTAATCATGGGATTGATGAATTTATTTAGACCCTCCTCTATGGGTCCGAGCTGCTACTCCAAACAGTATAATCGCTATCAGGAGTTCAAAAAGAAAAACAAAGACCTACCTATAATCATGTCCAACAAAATACAATTTTATGATTAGTAAACCATGTTTCACATTAGCCTATATATTTTTTATTTTTGAAAAAATCCTTAATCTATTACATGAAATAATTCAGCAGGTCATATTGCTGCATAACCAACTTGAACCTCTTTTTTTTTTTTTAAATACAAAAGGGTAGTTCTCCTTTGGATATTTTTTTTTTTCAAAACTCAGCACTTAGCATCATACCGATACACTGCAATCGGTATCCGAAATTACAAACATTGACCTGGAGGAACATCATTCCAAACAGAAGACTCTTTGTGATCATACACCGCGTACGACCAGGACATGATTCACTTACCACAACAGTACCAACGAAAAAGCTGGCCAAAATGAGTACACGTTTAAACTTAAAGGGTGCAGAAAACAATAGCAAAGGGTAAACGCCACACGGCAAAGCATGTTCTCGCTTCAAATGGTGGTTCAAGAGTGGCAGCAGAGATGACAAGGAGGGTGTACAGATCATGTGCCGGCCTTACGGCGGCCGACACGAGCAACAAAACCAGCTTTGATAGGCGCAACTGAGCGCGAAGAACCACACTGCAAATCGAATGATTTAATCAAGACAAAAATGAATGCAGGAGCATTAGATGGCAAACTAAACATAAAACAGAAACAAAATCACCACTAGTTGTAATTTGCTTATCAAAACACCAGGATCCTCTGCTGACTCCACCGAAAAAAAGGAAATATACTACGGCTCAAACCCACCAGAAACCTTTCTAATAAAAAAGTCAGAAAATCACAAGGGAAAGACCCACTGTAATTCTGTCATTCAAAGTGCCTCAGAGTTTTGCAGATTCTTATCATAATTTAAAAAATCAAACAATGTAGGCAACAATTCTGCAACTCATCAAAGGCATGTATCAATCAGTATGGGACATCTTTTGGAAACAAAATTGGATCATAATGGGGGGGGCTCAATCAACAGAAAAGGCAAATTTTATAGGAAATGACATAAGTGGAAAATTGGAGACTTTTTCCTTTCCTTTCTCTTTTTTTCTGGAGTGACAGGGACAATTTTCATTATCTTATAGCTCAACGACAACACAAACCAGTATGAAGTATAACGTGTCCCTCTTCACAATGATATTTTCAAAGAAGAGGGAAAAAATAACTCAGTTGAATCTTTATGCCCGATAACGTGTCGAGATTGCAGCCTCGAAACAACAAAGGATTCTCATCACAAAATAATTAAACAATGCATGCATCATATTGGCCGATCATCAAAGCCCTTGCAAACAAAGAAGCAGCACAGTAGGAATGCAGTCTATGAAACAAAAATTAAATTATGGTTCGAAGTGTTTACCTGCTCACATCGAAGAAAGAACAATCGGTTTTCCTTGGAAAGGATTGTATCTGGACTTTTGCAACCATTACATATAACATATTCATCTGCAAGAAAAGCCGGGAATGAGCTAAGTCAGTAAAATCATCATAATTTATTTTACCCATTAACATGTATGTATCAAACTAGTTTCCCATTAGACTTTTCATGAAATATATTCTGAATCACCAAGTACTATTTTACCGACTTCAGAAGTCAGAACCAATAGACAAATACCAACTAACTTACAGGGCCATGCTTCCCTTCCCCACGATAAAATCCTACAAGGTCGGGACACTCAGCAAGTTGACCATTATTTCTGTTGTTATCAGAATGGCCATCCTTCAATATCTGCAACTCAGGCATATTGCAAGATACCACATTTTAATTTCTCTACGTCCACTCCTAGCATTGCCCTCAAACTGGAAACTATGAGAACTGGCTAACCAAGAATAATTAACTATGTACACAACCAGACTATAGCATACAAAATATATCATATATGATAAGCACATATGGATTGCATGCACACCTACAAACATGCAAATGATATACACATATAGGAAGTTATTTTTAGACAGGATTACACAATCATTACCAACATTCAAACAAGTTACTGATAAATCCATACTTAAAGATCACAATAAACAAGCTCTACATGGAACAGTTACTATCATAAAATTTTGACAAACATGTATTTAACTTACTGATGTATCTTCTTAGGATACCCTCAAAATTTTTTGGAGCAAACCTCCCCTTAACCACCAGTCTCTGCTGCCCATCAAGGGATCCACTTGTTCCCATTTCAGCAAGCAAGAAATTCATTACATGCTCATGTTGCCTATGCATCCTGTGGACCAAACAGTCTTTCAGTACGCAGCTCATAGTGCATATGTTCTTGACACAATTTGCTAAATTGTAAACTTTACAACCATGATCATTCAACAGATATGCACATCGTTACACTTTTACAATCTTATTCTCAATTCAAAACTGTAAATATCATAAAAAGGTAAGACACTCACTAATACAAAATTAGATGTTTAGAAGGCATATACAGTCGAATTTGTGTAATAAAAAGTTACCTATAGAATCAGCAAACGATAAACAAATAACACAGTGAAGGAAAGGATTAGCGTTATACGTTTTGCAGAGATCCATAAAATTAACAAAAACTGTCTTCTTAGTTCCTTCTCTGAGAACTTGTGGAGGCCTTATGACCGTCCGACGCCTATCTCCAGCAAGATCTGGATTATTCTCGCGTAATATATTAAACACCCTACCCAGCAGCTGCATGATCAATGATAAAACATCAACCTTCCAGTGGTCAAAAGAAAATCTTTTAGAGGGCACAATATATATCAAGTGAAAAACTGTGCAACAGATAAAAACGCAGACAAGCACTGCAGACAATTTCCATGTGACATATAAGGTCAACAACAAAAGCCAGCTGGCTATACATGTGGTATTGTTCCCACAAAGAACTTGCTACACAAGATCATTTATGACGGAAAGTGTGCTACCATCAGGTTGGTATTACATGACTGGCACAACTTGGTTACTTTGCATGTCACATCGACCAGTGTGAAATGGTATAGCGTGCGCCAGCAAAAGCAGCCTATGATGCTACCAAAGAGATGTCAACGCCAAAAGGTCATAGTTATTTTGCACACATATAATTAAAGCCTGGAAACACAAGGCCGGAACCAGAATGGTTAACATCCAACATCCTTGGTCCATCTGTTGTTCCCACCACACTTATGACCCAATGCCTTCATAAGCGAAATGGTGCATATACATGATCCCTGTATGACCCAAAATACCCTTTTAAAACTTGTGATTAATATAATCTTTGGTTGGACATGAGACGGAGCTACAAATGGTAGAACTATTGCATCATAATTTGCAGCTTATGGATGCCACTAAATCTGCTCCCTGTCCTGGTACATGATGGGAATAAGTTTAGTTATTCAACACAAGACATCATCTAAATGAATCGAAGTTGAGAAACAATCACCACCGGAATACACATAGTAGTTTTTTACTTCAATTTAATTAAACCAAGATGAACAATGGTCAGTGGCTTAAATCCAATCATTAGCATAACCAAAAGTAACTTGTGAACCTATGTTTTTAATCTGATTGTGTGCAATCACATGTCCATAACTAATTCGATCAGCAGAAAAGTTGAGGTACACTTACATTCTTCACGACCTTGCATAGACAGTCTATCCACATAAAGTTTACCTTAGCTTCACGACCTTGCATCCTAAAACCCAACACTCTTTCAACTGAGTTGACAAACAATGTGATATAACACAAAATACAAACAATTCACTACTAAGGCTCGGGTGGAATGCAGAAAAATGATTGCTAAAACAAAGTAACAAAACTGAATAAAGATAAAGAAAGCATACTACCATAATCAACGCATTTGATTAACAAACTCCAGAACAGCAAGGTAATTCGTAAGAAAATAAATTCAGCACACCTCATCATACTTATAGTCACGATCAGTTCCTTCCCACGGGTATCGAACAACTCCTAATACAATGCCCTCTCCTTCCTCATCCCCTCCAATCTGATCGCCTGTATCATGATAAAAATGATAAATAATGTTTACTAACGAGTGGTGATCTAACTTATGAATTGCTAAAAGCATAGTGTTTGCTGAACTATCATGAAATCTTCAATCTCAAGAGAAACCAACATAGCACATCAAAATAAAAAAAACACTCTACCATTAAGATCTTCTCCAGCATCTCCATTCTCGTCATTCAAAAAGTCAGTTTCCACCTTAATCAACAACACAACAAAAATGTGATATTGTTGTGCAACAATATAGCCACAAAAGATTAAGAAAAACCACCGAACATCATGCTGATGCGTCTACACTTACTGGTTTCTTCTTCTTCTTCTTCAGGCCAACAAAACTAGGCTCACTTATGTCGTCAACTGCAATGCACCAACATATCAATGTGAGCTAGCAGAAGTCCGGACATTTTAAGCTGATTGATCGAAGCATAAGTTTTCAACATGACGTGTAAACCAAACAGCCTTTGGAGATAAATCAGTGATAGGATCAGAAACAGCATTACCTGTTAAACTTTCTGTCTTCTCAGTTAGTTTATCCACCTCCTCAGCAGGATCTTGAATCACAACCTTCTTTTTCTTCTTCTTCTTGGTTGAATCGAAGGGCGCCAACTACAATATTCGATCAAAAATATATTACACTTAAAGACAGGAAAAAAAAAACGTCTCATCATCGTATGAGGTCATGTATAGAATTTGGTAATGTTTTGCAAATGACTAGTAGACCGAGCACGCGCGAATAGCCGCCGATCATCAAAGGAAAATAACCAGAAAATAATAGAGAAAGGCAATTACCGGCACAAAATTGGATAGATAGTACGAATCTGATTAGAATCAATCAAAATCATCAAGATGAATCAATTGGCAAAATGGCTAACAAAAGAAACACGGTCCAACTCACGAGATTAGTAGAACAAGGTCAGGAAACCTTACCTCCGGCACCTCCTCTTTCACATCCTTTGGGTTCTCTTCCGCCATGTTGCCTATCTTCAGAACCCCCAAACCTAAACCTATCAACAAAAACCAAATCAGCGAACAGCTTCGTTCCACCAACTACACAGACCATCAAATGGGGATTTCTGGAAGACCAGACCTAGCTCCACTTTGTTTAAAGGAAAATTGAAGGCGAAATCATAGGGAACCGATCACCTCGATTCCTCTCTCGAAGATCGCGGAACACTTGGGTCGGAGGATCCGGTTCTTTATCATCTTTTGTAACAGTTCTCTTTTTGACGTTTATAAGGGTTTGTGCCAAACGAGTGTTTTTTTTTTTGGAGAAAAAATTGAAATCCACTCAAATAGGAATTGAAATTAATTTATCTGAAAATATTAAATTCTTTGGAAATCTTTAAATAACAAAATTGCTCGTTTGTTATTATCATAACCACTTGAAGTAAAAAAAAAATAGGAAGTGGAGTTTTCAATTAATTTTCGAGCATTGTAAAACTGATCCCATCATGATTTGTGTTTTCTTTCGGTGCACGTAAATTATGATCGGTTGAACCCAGTCAGATCCAACTTCGACATTTCCGATTAAATAGTTGAGAACCAAACCGACAGAAGGTTGCTTGTTGAATAGTTAACATCGAAGTAACATATATCATTTTTTATTTATTTTGATAATGTGAGATAAAGATTTTTTTTCATCAAAATAAAAAAACATATCATGAGACCACAAAGACGAATCAACTGAGCGCCAAGAGTAAGAGTTTCTTGAACGTGTGCCAAAGGACCTCTTAAGAGTTTTTGGAAATGTTCATCGTAATCGAACATGATCAATCGAGGGATGAAGTATACAAAAAACGAGACAGACGAAGAAGGTGGCGCAACCACATACGCACGCGGGTTGTTAAGGAGGAACAACAGCATTTAAACTAAAATGGAAAAATGTAAAATGCACGAGTATATAATATAATGCACGAGAGAACAAAGAGAGATATTTCATATCGCAATTCTACTCGCAGCGTATACGAGTCTAGTTGCAATATATACATGTTGCAAATGATTTATTTACACTATTAAACGCTTTGATCCACTTGTTGACAAGCAAAACCTGCTAAATACATTGCCGCATGGAATCCCACATCACAAAGATAACTTGCTTTTAGAAGGAATTGATCGCCAAGCTCTACACTGACTTGGCCTCTTCAAATCTTGTCCCTTGTCAAAATATTGCTCACTTAAGATCATGCTTTACTATGCTAACTCACTGGTAATGCAACTACATCCATATCGTTTCCTGACCTCCCTCCCTAGTGGTGTTACCAAACCAGCATTAGATGGTGGAACAATAGGCCCACCAAATAGCAAATACAATCTATGAACTTAACCTAAAAGTTTTGCCTTCTGTTTGACCTCCCCAAAAACATGAAATGAGTCAGCTCAATGGGTGTGTGAAATGTTATTGACAAGAATGTCTGTGTAAACATAACAAGACGAACTATATAAACAATAAATTGATTGTCAGTGGTATAATGTTGCTGATAACAAATTCTATATGATATATTTTTAACCTAAAACATCAAGCAATATGCACCACATTTTGGCTGAGAGAAGATGGGAGACTCTGAGAGACAACCCATGAGGAACGTACATGAAAACTTTACCAAAAAAGGAAAAACAGTAGGATCAACATATCTAGATTTACGGGCAATTTATACCTTTCTTCATCGTAGCGGGAGAGTAGCATCAGTTGGAGCTTGGCATGATTGATCCAGCAAGCGTATCTTATGCTCAAGCTCAGGCCCATAGGCACCGATGAGCTTATCCAGCTGCTGCCCATCTTTCAGAAAGAAGAATGTGGGGGTTGCTGAGATGTCCCACGACCAACAAAAATCCTGCAACAGAGATTCAATCTATACAGCTATTGCCAAAGCATGCCTTTCATAATTCAAGCAGCAATTATACAACTCTGAAAATAAAAGTGAAGTGTACTGAACAGTGTTTCACGCTTTCATGTTCATGGTGCGTTGCAGAAAATATTTTCCTGAAAATTATGTTGTTCACTGTCAAAGATGATCACAATTGTTATAGGGTTATTTTAGATTAAAAGGTCCAAGAAACAATGCCCTATCATAATATGCTTAACAGACAACAATTAGAAATCTTCATAAAATGGAATGCAGGAGAGGTATGGTTGACAAGTGAACGGAATGCAAACCAAAGTTGTTCTGACTGCATCTCATGTTTCACATTTTACTGTGAAAAGCTTGCTCTTGAAGTTCTACTATTGTACATTGATGATCAACAATCTTTTGCCAATCAACCTGCTCCCTTTTGTTTCAAACTACAATGATAAGCTCTAAGAAGTGTTCTTTAGAAAGTTAAGACCAATATCACGATCTTCGCAGAATAAATTTAAAAATGCATCCCAAGGGGACCAACAACATCAGGGATCAAATAAAGCTTTGATCCAATGAGTGAACTCAACTGTAAAAAGTTACAGAATTACAAATTTGAATCTTCAAGCATAGGCTACTACAGAATCTTTAATATTGAAAGATTTTGTTCATTCTAACTTATAGTGAAGATAGCTGGAAAAAGACACAAGTTAAAACACATGGAGGCCTAGAATCATACTGGGGATATTGTGGAACTGAGTTAAATGCAAAGGCATTACAAATTGAGTCCATAAAATTTTCTTTCTTTTTTCTTTTTCCAAAAGCCAAAATGCTAAAGAAGCATCTGTCTCCATACCTTGTCAAGGGAACATTTAGCCTAAATGTACTTATTTAAACAATTTTAAGGCCCTTTATGCAAAAAGTAACAAGAGTTATTACCAAGATAGTCCAATTCAGGTTTTCAAACATGATCATTTCATTTGGTTTCCATGTGAAGTGTGAACACCAGTCAATAGTTAGCCAATGGCTTCTTTAATTTTAAGGGGACTATGTAGCTTGACTTTAGGGAATTCTAGAGAATTTCTTAGACCAAAATAGATAAATGGCAGTGCTAATATCTCAGCTGTACCAAGAAAACCTGTGAGGGCATAGCAAAAGGCAATCAAAGAATTAATAGCCCAAGGATACAAATTTGATCCTACTCAGGCAACCTCAAGGATAGCAAATGTAGGTACAAAAGGATAGCAATTGGAAGAAAGATGGGAAGTGGGAACCAGGCTAGAAAAAATCAAGCATCTTCAACAACAATGGCACAAAATATATTCAAGCATCAAACAAGGAATGCAATTGTCTAAATGAAGATGAAAGCAGATCTTACCATCAAATTATCCACATCTATTGTCAAGAATATCAGTGAAGGATACTTTTCAGATAGCTCCCTGTAAACAGGTGCAACCGTCCTGCATGGACTGCACCAAGTTGCACTGAAGTTTGCCACAACCTGTGAAAGGTTAAACAAATGCACATTAACCGCATGCATTCAGATGCATCCATGGACGAAATTTATAAGCTTTTGTTTGTAATTGTTAGGAAGAGCTCTCCTTACAGAAGTACTAACATCAAAAAGGTGCATGTAACTTACGGTAGTTGGACACCAATATAATCTGAAAGCATAACACCTAGCGTAGATTTAGTTATTAACCATGTGGACTGTTCACATCTTTGTTCTAGAGTAACAGTCTCTACAGCAGTATGACACCTAGCATAACTGTAAGGTAATCAGTGGTAGTTGTTTTTCCTTACAACAGGCCCTCTCCTTTTGTTATCACCTATACAGCAGGATTTATATTGAAGGTTTGATTAATTGGTCTGTATTATATATGATGTGCAACCCTACCAGTCTCTTTACCTTCCATATAGACTTGCTATAAAAAATGAGACCTTTGTCAAATAAAACTTCAGTTTCCACTTTACTAGTATTTTTCCCATGGCATTCTTATCTTTTTCTATTGCTACCTGAAATTTTGATGATATCTTATTTCCATGGAACAATTAGGAATAGAAATACGTAAATCTTGTTTCCCCTAAATCAACTAAGCTTTTATTTGTTTTTGTGGGATGTTATGTCGCACTGTAATAACTACGAGTAAAGTTTATATTTTTCTCTAATGGACCCGATAGGCATCTGAACCCATATATTGACCTGAGATGAAACAATGATCTGTACTTGTTTGAAAACAATCATATGCAAGAAGTGCTGCATCAAGGTCCACTTGGAATGGTACGACCCAACTCGATAATATAGCATCAGTACAAGATTACAAATTAATCTCAGTGATGACAAAGTCCTAACAGGGATAGGATTACTTGGAGATTTTTCTGAGTAGTGAAATATTTTAACAGATCCCATAGCATCCATTCAGAAATGAATCTAGCATAAGATGAAAATGGTTTATCAACACATTCTAAATCTAGCTAAGTAGTCAAAGATGGAAGAACTGCTGACTTCATAAAAAAATGAGCTTCAGTTTCATACTAAACTGTAAATTCAATTAGCACCCTGATTTAATGATGAGATCCAGAGCAATCTGTTATTCTTACAGCTGCAAGTGCTTTGCGCAATTGCAAGTAGACTAAGATTAATCAGAAGTCTCTATGAACCAATTATGCAAGCATGCCATGAAACTTCAATTGTTCATCTACATATGTGATTCTGTGATGTATTAGCAATTTAGGAAACAAATACATGTGGGTTCTCTAATGTTGCTTACTATCTTGCCATCCTTGTTTGCTTCTGCAATCTTCTGTTCCCAATCACTTTTGCTGGTTATTACATGCACATTTCCACCTCGAAAATCTACCTCATCCTCATTGCCACTATTTCTCACATTCTAGTAAAATAAAATAAAAAAAAGAATCATTAGGCGGTAGGTAATATCATCTAATATGATAAATGCCAGAGAAACATGCTTAACTAGTGTGATATAGAAGATAAAAGACGTGAAGTTCGAAAACAGGGTCTTAACCAGGAACAAATGACAATCAGACATACAATCAGGAAGAATGAATCAAAACCAGCAAAGCATCAGTTTAAGAGAATCTGAGTTTCCTTCTTTGCAGAGGTCATAAGTAGCAACATTTTCCAAAGGCATGCAATCAGAATGAGTGAATAAAAACCAGCAAAACTTCATTTTAAGAGAACATCTGAAGGTTTGGTGCAGCCAACAAATCATGAAGAAGCATATAGCACTGTCAAAGCTGCAACATGTGTTGTGGGACCTAAATGCTGAAATGATGCAAACAGCAGTAACTTAACAACTCAACCTCATAGACCTCAGATATATAACCACTGAACTGCAAGCCCAGCCTCCTCTACTTTAGAAAATAGTATGTAAAACAAGAAATGAATGAGACGCTAAATGTTAAAAAAAATTAGTACACAGATAAATGGTGGACAAAGAAAGGGTCAGGAAGAACACAGGCAGCATTGGAAAAACTCACTAAGAAATAACTTGTAAATGTTTACTAAAAAGAAATAATAACTCATAAATGTTTGAACTGTAACCATAAGCAGTCACCATAATTTCTGCTCTTATCTATGAAAATAACTGACCTTTCTTATGCAGTTTCCCATTTGACTTGAGCGCCACAGTACAAACAAGAAGTTCACCAGCCACTGCTGGAAAATAAAAACTGAAGAAAAAGATTATTTTCATAACCTGAGGGGAGAACTTAGATGCTAAAGAAAAATAAGACCAGCTAGATCTGTAATTCAGGTTAAATCATTACTGTAATTCAGAAACAGAAAATAAATTTTCAGTTGAGGAACATAAACTCTCAGAATAATCAGAAGCAAGAAGTATAAATAACTAGATTTCGTAACAAAGGTGTTCGATTCTAACAGTTTCTCATGTTCAAAATATAGAACTCTTGCAGATCATCAACTGTAATAGGAAGGGTCAGAAAGCAAGAATAAAAAAGTGTAAAAACTCATGATGGATAATTCCAATTGCTAGATTCAAAAACAAGAAACTAATTAAGATAAGGACATTGTCACAAACGAATAATTCAATATTATGTTAAGTGATAAAAAATTGAGGCGAGGACAACTTTGTGTCAAACTCAAACATGCATCTGATGAAAGAGGAAAGGATGCATCCAAACCAAATGTTGAATCACTCACAACAATTATTAACAATTAGTCCTAGAGTACTTCTTGATTAGCTTCCTTATGGGAGGAACAAGAGTGCTAACCTCAATAAATTAATCAAATGGTTCTGCTTCTGCGCTGATTATCAACCTGTGTGTGCCTTGATCAGGAAAGTTCACTCATGAATAAAGGGATCCGAAAACAAACATCAATATTATGCCTTAACCCATAATAGAAAATGAGCACATAACAGTTATGTGACCCCAGAAGCATCTTAATTTGTATGTCAAGACCATAAGAGGCTTGTCTATTGTTTATTTGTACTTCGAGACCATAAGAGTATCTTAATTTACATGTATAACCCCTCTTAAATTAAATCTCATAACCATACCAGTGATGATGTATATATATACATTTTTAATGACCTTTTGCAGGGTACTTATTGCAAAACCTCAAATTATGAACTTACAACTTACACAAGCGTATAAAGACTAATAAAAAAGTGCTCAAAGATTCTAATCTACTATGTAAAACCATGTAAATGTACCAGAAGGCACTGAACTTAGTTTGAGGAAGGCCAATATATGTATGTAACTAATTTTGTTGACTTCTGAAAATAATGCACAGCCTTTCTTGCCGAAAGGAATAAGATCATAAGGCTGGCATGGTCCAAGAGAAGATAGGCAATTAGGAAGAGGAGTGTGATAAAAGTAACATCTAACTTCTCTTTGTATCAAGCATTTAATAGTCGTAAAAGGAAACTAAAATTTAATACTGAATTAGAAGTCTACCATAAATGGACTCCAATACAGGCATTAGAGGTAAAAAGTCAATACTGGATTGAAGGTCTCCAATGAATGATGTGTCAGAATTAACTTAATAGTCTTAGACCAAGCCCTTTCCAAAAGAAATACATGCTACAGTTGGTTGTTAGAGAAACTCTTGCACTTGATAAATGAAGCACAATGCAAACAACTTTGCTAGAATACTTGCTAGTCCATTGACAGAGAATCCATTACAACCCAAAAGATTGAGCTCAGAGGTTATGGCTCAACTTGTAAAATGCATATAGCTAAACTTGTAGTTCCTTAGCTATGTTGGATTATTCTCAATTGTCCAACAATTTTATTGGTTTAAAGAACACTAGGATGACGTACACCTGGTAGTGATCAAGCATGATGTAATTGTCTGTTCTTGTTGTTGGGAACTTGGGTTACTCTTCGATGGTATTATTGTGTGAATACCATTCTTTAACAAAAGCACAAACTTTCATTATGCTTACTACATCACATCCTTTATATTTAATGCCTTTCCTTCGTTGTTTCCTGTGACAGCAATCTTCCACGATTTTCTCAGGCAAGTCAGCTTTCCATTATCAGTTTGTTTTTCCCCAAGGTAAAATGTTTCTCTATGCAGCTCAGATATTTGCTTTTTATTCCATTGCATGAGTCAATTTGACTCCATCAATGTAATAAATAGCTTGACAAATAGCACCATGATGCCACAACCACCACAACAACAACAATAACAACGAAATCTTTCCATCAACCAAGCAATAATAGTTAGCAATCGCACTCCATCGTAAAACAAAAGTTAGCAATCACAAGCTCATAGCTCTAAAAACCTACCTTGCGACAGCGTGCTTTTATAATCTAAACATAGAGCTCGATCCGCCGTGAGCCACGATCCACAAGTGCGCTGCAGTGAGACTAGACGTACACGTCAAATCATTCAAAGAAGGCGCAAAGAAAGGAACCCCCCCACATAATCCGAGGAACAAGATTAGCAGCAACAATTACTACCAGGACAACCGAGTAGGTTCCGATCACGCCAAATTCTTCTCTTACGGAGAGCAACAGGAATGAATCAAATCGAGAAAACAATACCTACATGATCGCGGTTCCTCTTCTACGGATGCTCGTAGTGATCAATTCTTCGACGATAGCAGGGGCACAATTGGGTGGCGTTGGAATCGCAATGAGCGATGAGGAAATGACCGGGGCATCGGGCGGGCGGTGTCGAGGAGCAGAGGAACCGTTCCCACCACACGATGGCCTCGCCCTCCCACCCGGATGCGGATCCTAATTAATTGTGGAGTCCGTTTTGAACCCGATCCGAGATGTGTATCTAACAACACATCAAAGGTTCCGCTCGTGACAGCCAACACTGGAATTTACGCATTCTTAATCCAAAACTCGGTTGTTAACTCGAAGATAATCTGACGTGGTGCACATCCAGAACAGCTAATCTCGAGAACAGATGGCTCAGCTGACACCTTTGCGTGCGTTCGAAAAGGAACTGTCATTTTGCAACCTCACAGGTCCCGTAAGAACAATTAAGTACAGAGAAAATAAGTCAGTGATAACTGTATTTTCGACGAAAACACACTCGACGGGAGGATTCCTTATTCAAGTCAGCTACAATAGGCTAATGTTAGCTATATTTTGGTGAAAATTATTACCATTCGAACTAATAGATAATTGATCTATTAATTTTGTTAAACTATCAAAATATTTAGATTGAAAATTTTAATAGTATTTACCAAAATCTTAATCTTATTTATTTTTAATATAAAATTAATTAAGGTATTATAAATTTTTTAATTGTAATTCAGATCAAATTATGCACAGTCTTTTTTTTTTTTACTGGGATCCTTTCAATATTAGGTTATATCTAATTTTAATTGTCACAACCCGTTCTAAAAGAATAATTGGCCTATTAACTTTGATGGGCTCAAACAAGGAAATTATGATAATCAAATCGTTATAAATCAATCTTAATTTTATTTATTTTTGATATAGAACTAATTGAGATGTTATAAAAACACACGAAGATCTTACATGAATAAAGAAACTTTATTAATTCTTTAATTATCTTACAAGTACTTAATCGACTTTCTTTTCTATTGTAATAATTTTTAATCAATTAATCAAACTAACATCTGCCAAAAAAATATTGTATAATAAAATTTTTGATCCATAATATTTGATAGATGAGTTTGATATATCATTATCATACTAATATTTTAAATTAAAAAATTTATAGGATAAGTTTTCAAATCTGTTAGTGAATCTAATACATTATCATCAAACTAATATGTAAGATTTTAAAAAATTACAAGAAGATTGAAAAACTATACAATAACATTTTAAAGTATATAAGTGAATCTATCAACAAACGTTATATCATATGTTAGATGAAATTTTGACTCATCACCCTTTGAGAAATAAGTCTAATATGTCACAATCCTATATATTTTTTCTCTCTCTTCTATGATCGTTCAAATCCTTTTAAGTTTTTGTTATAGTATGACATGGAGGGTTTTACAAGGATTCATGGTAAGAATCACGATGTGGAATTGATGTTTTGGTTCAAGCATGAACCGAAACATTGTTGATGAAGAAAATAATAGAAGATAAGAACAATTATTGAAGAAGTTTAATTGAAGAAATGAAAATGCTTCAATACATTAACATGTTCCTTCTCCTATTTATACAATTTAGGAGAAAATATTTCCAATAGAGAATTTTCCTCAACAGAATAGAGAGATTTTCTGCTGCTGCCTCCGTAAGATGGTGCTCCCGATAAGGATACCAATATTGGATCGATGTAAAGAATGATTTACAAGCGAGAGAAGATGCACTGATATGATGGAGCAATCATATCAGTGATGTTAGTGCACTGTTGTACAACTCATTATTTAATATAATAAATAATTCTTCTTAATTCTTTTTTTTTTAAGAAAAAACTTGGTGATCCTACTTGCTGCAGCTTCACAGCCTTCAAGGGATTGGTATGAATTGCATGGTTGGAATATGCAAGAAGGTTCGATTTTCTTACACATCCTCTGAAGCAGTAGAGAATTCTGACTCAGCTTCTCAGACTTTTTGTGTTTGGATTTCATGGAACACTGATAACTATCTTTAACGGCATAGCCAGCAACGACTACCATGCAACCTTCCCTTGATGTAGTCTCTTTATGATCCCTGTGGGTTTTCACATGACCATGCAACAACGAAAGCAAATGTCAGCTCAGGAAGTGGCTCTGATCACATTCATCTTCCATGCTGTTCAGCCAATTCAAGTTCTTGGAATCCTCTTTTAGCAGAATGGCATCATGCCATGAACTCTCCTGGATATGCAGCTTGCTCACTCTTGCCTTGATAGGCTCATTTGAAGCTCCAACAGCAGGATCACCATCGCAGCCTCCGGAGGTCATCCCTTTGCCAGTGTCATCGTTTGAATCAGCTGCAACATTGTCATCAACATGAGGAACTGGCTTGTCAGGGCATGGCTGACCTTTTTGTGCAGCGGAATGGATGCTCTGAGGACGACTGCTTGCGGGTTGCACTCTCAGATGGCTTGTTCAGCCAACTTCATTCCAAGACTCGGCGGCACTTCGAGTGGGAGGTCACGGAGAGCAAGTGGCTGTACTTGAACTGGGCTATTCGATCGAGTATTCGAAGCAATGGAGGGAGTTTGAGGTCGAACAGTTGGCGTCCAAGTCAGGGATGGTCCAGTTTTGACGGGGATTGACGATACACCTTAAGTCTTGGATTCATCCTTGCTGTTGATTCAGCAGCTGAGCGATTCCGGTGACTGAATTGGTAGTGCAGCTGAGCGATTCCGGCCCATACATTCCAATTGCCCGACAAAGGTGCTCCCGAACTCAACCATGAAACAAACGACGACCGCAGCGGCGCCCACATGTCGTTCCTCCTCCAAAACGCCCCCATTTGGAATCTCACCACCTCGCGCTACCGCAAGAAGGAGGAGGAAAGGGCCGCCTTATGTCTATCGACCACGGTTTCAGGTTCTTGAAGCAGAAGAACCTGAAACCGTTCAAGAACCTGCAACCGTACCCATTCCCATTGATCCGACCGAGCCCCATGATCCTGGAACCCAAAGGTAGCAGCTTGGCGGGCGCAACAGTTGCAGCCGGAAGCGAGCACCCGAGAATATGCGATTTGGGCATGCGGGATTGGAGGGCGGCTGGAGCTGAAGCGGGTCGAGTTCAAGAACGGAATCATGGCCGGCAGAGAAGGCGCTCCGTGGCCAAGAATTAATCGGGAGTTCGTCGGGACAGAGCCCGTGGAACCCACTCGCACAAACAAGGAAAGCAAATGCGAGGCTGACAAGGCCGTGTTTTGTGTTTCTGCAAATGAAAACAGAGTTCCTAGTTTTGTCTTGTTTTCCTGTTTTTGCTTTTAAAAATATGTTTCCAAACATGTAATAGTACAACTACTCCATCCTACAAGCCAATAAAAGAGGAGAGGAGAGATGGACACCAGACTTCTATTCCATTCCCATTCAAAGCCGGCATGTAGAAAGAATTCCATGTTCTGTTTACACGCCTTCGATTAGGGTTAGGGTTCTCCAAGAATTCCACCGGGTTGATCGATTCCGTCCTCTTCTTCTCCAATTCGCCCATCGATTTCACAGGGCACCCAGCCGACCACCTTCCATTCATCCGATTCCTCTTCCGTCTCCGCTGTTTCTTGCGGAGTTCCATAGTTCTTCTTGGTTTGATTCGGGCGGCGATGATGGAGACCTCAGGCGCAAGCTCCGATCCCTACAGAAGCCAGGCCGGTGGCGGAGGCGGTTCGTCGAGGAGGTTCCGGATCCGGTTTTCGCCGTCCAATTTGATCCGGGCGCCGCTCTCGACGCTGTTGGAGTACTCCGGGATCTTGCGGACTCGGGCGGGCCACTCGGAGGGCGAGATCATGGTCGGTGAGTCCATGCGCGACCATGGCCCTGGTCGGATTGGGGAGTCCTCTCTCCCTGGCGTCGGTGGAAGCGGCAGCGGGGAGGTGGCTATAAGGATAATTGGGGTCGGGGATCACGAGGGTTCAAGGGTGGGGCCGAGCCCGGTGCAGCCCTTGGCTGTTGGGCCATGCCGGGAGGGGAACCCTGGTGGTGCTGGTGTATCGAGCGAGCTGCTTGGCACTTTGCCTGAAAGGCATGGAAGAGATGGAGGGAGCGATATTGGCGTTGGGGAAATAGGACCTTCTTCTTCTTCTTTGCCGGCATCCATCTTGGGCGGCGGCGGTCAGAGCGCGGATGGTGAGGTGAACAATGCAGGTGGTAACGGCAGAGATTCAGCATACCAGAGATATGACATACAACAGGTTGCTAGGTGGATCGAGCAGGTACTGCCGTTCTCGTTGCTTCTATTGGTGGTGTTCATCAGACAGCATCTGCAAGGTATTTGTTTTTGGATTCTGCCCTTTAATATTTAGCTGTTATAATTTATTTGGTTCTAGATCTTAGAATGGAGTATTGACATGCCATTTTACATGAATATCGGGCTTCATTCTTTGAATATCTATCAGTATTGTCAGAGAATATACTTTCACCATTATTTAATTTTTTACCTGAGACTATTTATTGTACATTCTCAAACAGCAATGGACTTATTGGTTCCTGAGTTTGAGAAGGTGCAAACAAATGTTTATCTAAATTCATTGACGTTGTCTAATGAGGAAATGTTTCGAGTTCATAGTTGCAATGATGTAGCTCCTTTTTCCACTTTCTGTACATATGTTTCTTTATCCATTCTCAACTTTGCAGTTGTTTAACCCTTAACTTTTATTGGCAAAGAATAACTCTCTCGAAGTGCTGAGGTTTTCATGTGACTCTCGGTCAGCTATACATCTCATGCATGCTTTCTTTTCTAGGATAGAAATTAGATAGTCAAATATGTAGTTCAGAATTGTAGAAATGGGTTGTTGATCCAGTAACAATTCTTATTTTACTTGGGTGTGAATGATATCTTGGTCTAGGCCTTGGTTGGTGCATGCATCTTGTTACCATATGTTGCAAGTAAGCGTTCATGTAGATTCTGTTGTCCAGCATTCTCTTGTGTCATTTATTTTCTAATTGTAAACAAAACCTATCTATGGTACAGTATGTTACATGATGTTAGCTTAGTTAATTGCTCTCTTTATCCTTATTGATGAGCTTTTTTGACTGAACAGCTTCTCTATTGCGAATTAGGATGATGAAGCTCTCTTACTTTTTTTTATGCTCTAGCAATTTTCTGTGCTCTATATTTAAG